CTGATCACAGGTACGACTCTCTTTCTCTACTTCCTTGTTCTTCCCCATCATCTATCTGTAATCGTTTTCCATATACCGAACCACCTTTTGCACTTCGAAACCCTCTCTCAAACCCATTCCCCTTCTACAAAACCCTCTCTCAAATCCCTCCCCCCATGTGTGAATCCCCTCCCAAACTCTTCCCCTTTATGTGAAACTTTATCCCAAACCCTCTTCTACCTTGCTATGTTAAATTTGTGCAAAGGAATACATGATTTAGGGCAATCCATTTGCAAAAATTGGGTTTGTGTACTGAAATTGTTCCAGTGGCTGCTGGGTCATGCTGCAAATTGCTAGTTTTGATTGTTGCTAAGGAAGAAAACGATGTTATTGTTATATGTGTAATTGCTGGTTTAATTGTTCCATTAAACTTTGTTGCATTTGTAATTGTTTATGGGTACACACATTTTCAGATTATAGAAACTGAAACATAAAAATTTGCAATGATCATTAATGGAGATCAATTTCATAACCTTTGCAAAATTTTGGTTTTTCTTTCTAGTATACCAATGGTAGAAGTACTGTTAAAATTCTATTGCCGATATAATACACATTTTGTTTTGATCAACAATGAGAATTAACATAAAAATTAAGTAGCAAAAATTATATTGCTTTACTTTGCAATTGCTTGTATCTTACTTGAATTATTGGTTTTGAAATCTAATAAGCTGCAAGTATGGCTCACTCTGAGTGTATTATGTCCACCCTTTTGAAATTCATTATTTTTGGAATTAGGCCATGAATTGATACTTTTTTTTCTTCTTTTTGTGTGGTATGAACAATGGTGCTTTAGATGGAATATCAAGGAAATGCATATTTTAGCAACCTAATGAACGACTAGTTTGACCTTGACCATGATTTTACCACTAAATCTCCTCAACAAGAGAGTCAATCTTTATCACTCTCTTCTGAAATTATTACTCAAATTAACCACAAAGCATGATGCTCATATCTTCATGGCTTAATATTAGCTTAGATCCAATTAAAGGAAATGAGCAAAAGTCAAAGGCATATTGGTTAAGAGTGTGGGAGAACTTCAACAAGTACAAAACCTTTGATTCTAAAAGAACTCAAACTTCTCTAATGAATCGATGGTCGACTATTCAACTTGCCATAAATAAATTTTGTGGATGTTTTGCTCAAGTTGAACAGATGAATCGAAGTGGTTCGACTACAAAAGACAAGGTATTACTAGAATTTAATTTTGTACCTATAATGAATATATATTATTCATTATGTGATAATGACTATTCTTTAATCTATTTTTTACATTCGGGATGCGAAAAAATTGTACAAAGACTTGCATCAATCGAACTTTCCCTTTGAGCATTGTTAGAATGAATTGAGATCCCAACCAAAATAGATGGAAGATACAACAACGAAAAAGCAAAAAAGCACAAAAAAATGCATCTCCAGCAACGTCTACCCCTTGTACACCAGATTCAGTAAATTTAGGGGACAATGATAACTATGATGTTGTGGAAAGACCAGCGGGAAGGAAGGCCGCAAAGAAAAACAAAGCCAAAGATCTTGGAAATAATGTTACAGAGTCGCCTTTTGTGAAGCTCTTAGAAGAGATAAAGGTAAAGAACTACATAACAAATAAGAAGAAAATATAGATATTTGAGAAATCTAATCTTCAAGAGGAAAGGAGGATTGAAAATGAGGAAATGAGAGAAAAACGAAGGATTGCATTAGAGGAAGGGAGAGAGGAAGAGAGAATCATGTCAATGGATACAAGTATCATGCCTCCATTGCAAGCACAATATATCCGTCAACGTCAGATGCAAATCTTTGAAAAAAGGAATTAATTGTTTCTATTTAGCTTTGAAACTATGTTTTTATTTAATTTAAGTTTGACTATATTTTATTTTTGGGTTTGTTGGCACATCTTGTATCAGTTGGGGTTGTTTTACTGAGTTGTCATGCTGCTGAAAATAAAGATATTTTGTGATATTTTGGGATAGTTTCAGTTGGGGTTGCTGCTTATTGTTGCTGATGGTTTGTCAAATAGTTAAATTCATTACATCACTTTTATATGGCTTGTTGCTAGCACATTTTGTATTGTTTTATTTAGAGTAAATATGATACAAGCTGCAATGATATATTGTTTTATTGTTTTAGTTTCTGAATTTTCTAATAAAACAATGATCAATGATCACAATTTTTTTTATATCAATGATTATGATTATAATTTTTTTTTTCCAAAAATAAGTTAGGGATTAATTGACAGAAAAAATTTATTCTAAGTATCACTAAAGATCATAGATTAAAAACAAATCACTAGTGATATATTATTGAAAGCACATAAAATAGTACAAATATTTTTGAAAACACTCACTAAAGCATATAAACTAGTACAAAAATCAATAAGAATCAACTAGTACTTCTCACAAGGAGTCTCCATATAATGTCCATAAGTGTTCGACCAAGTCTTGTTTGAGTTTGGAGTGAGTTCCTCTATCTCTGATGCGGTAATGATTTTGAATGAATTCAAAAAGTTCTGGTGTACGCTCGTGAGACACTGGTGGAAGACTTTCACTAATTGTATCATAATTAAAGTCTATTCCATTGGCATCCCTCTCATCTTCAACAATCATGTTATACATTATTATGCATGCCATCATAATATCTTCCATTATTTTCATTTTCCAAAAACGTGCAGGTCCTTGCACAATCACGAAACGTGCTTGGAGCACACTAAATGTTCACTCATGACTTTGCCAATGAATCTCCTCAACAAAAGAGTCAATCTTTATCATTCTCTCCTGAAATTATTACTCAAACCACAAAGACATCGCAACGCAAAGGGAACTTCACCGTAGAGGAAGACATGATGCTCATATCTTCATGGCTTAATATTAGCTTAGATCCAATTAAAGGAAATGAGCAAAAGTCAAAGGCATATTGGTTAAGAGTGTGGGAGAACTTCAACAAGTACAAAACCTTTGATTTTGAAAGAACTCAAACTTCTCTAATGAATCGATGGTCGACTATTCAACTTGCCATAAATAAATTTTGTGGATGTTTTGCTCAAGTTGAACAGATGAATCGAAGTGGTTCGACTACAAAAGACAAGGTATTACTAGAATTTAATTTTGTACCTATAATGAATAAATATTATTCATTATGTGATAATGACTATTCTTTAATCTATTTTTCACATTCGGGATGCGAAAAAATTGTACAAAGACTTGCATCAATCGAACTTTCCCTTTGAGCATTGTTAGAATGAATTGAGATCCCAACCAAAATAGATGGAAGATACAACAACGAAAAAGCAAAAAAGCACAAAAAAATGCATCTCCGGCAACGTCTACCCCTTGTACACCAGATTCAGTAAATTTAGGGGACAATGATAACTATGATGTTGTGGAAAGACCAGCGGGAAGGAAGGCCGCAAAGAAAAACAAAGCCAAAGATCTTGGAAATAATGTTACAGAGTCGCCTTTTGTGAAGCTCTTAGAAGAGATAAAGGTAAAGAATGACATAACAAATGAGAAGAAAATAGAGATATTTGAGAAATCTTATCTTCAAGAGGAACGGAGGATTGAAAATGAGGAAAAGAGAGAGGAACGAAGGCTTGCATTGGAGGAAAGGAGAGAGGAAGAGAGAATCATGTCAATGGATACAAGTATCATGCCTCCATTGCAAGCACAATATATCCGTCAACGTCAGATGCAAATCCTTGAAAAAAGGAATTAATTGTTTCTATTTAGCTTTGAAACTATGTTTTTATTTAATTTAAGTTCGACTATATTTTATTTTTGGGTTTGTTGGCACATCTTGTATCAGTTGGGGTTGTTTTGCTGAGTTGTCATGCTGCTGAAAATAGAGATATTTTGTGATATTTTGGGATAGTTTCAGTTGGGGTTGCTGCTTGTTGTTGCTGATGGTTTGTCAAATAGTTAAATTCATTACATCACTTTTATATGGCTTGTTGCTAGCACATTTTGTATTGTTTTATTTAGAGTAAATATGATACAAGCTGCAATGATATATTGTTTTATTGTTTTAGTTTCTGAATTTTCTAATAAAACAATGATCAATGATCACAATTTTTTTTTATCAATGATTATGATTATAATTTTTTTTTTCCAAAAATAAGTTAGGGATTAATTGACAGAAAAAATTTATTCTAAGTATCACTAAAGATCATAGATTAAAAACAAATCACTAGTGATATATTATTGAAAGCACATAAAATAGTACAAATATTTTTGAAAACACTCACTAAAGCATATAAACTAGTACAAAAATCAATAAGAATCAACTAGTACTTCTCACAAGGAGTCTCCATATAATGTCCATAAGTGTTCGACCAAGTCTTGTTTGAGTTTGGAGTGAGTTCCTCTATCTCTGATGCGGTAATGATTTTGAATGAATTCAAAAAGTTCTGGTGTACGCTCGTGAGACACTGGTGGAAGACTTTCACTAATTGTATCATAATTAAAGTCTATTCCATTGGCATCCCTCTCATCTTCAACAATCATGTTATACATTATTATGCATGCCATCATAATATCTTCCATTATTTTCATTTTCCAAAAACGTGCAGGTCCTTGCACAATCACGAAACGTGCTTGGAGCACACTAAATGTTCACTCAACATCTTTCATTGCCGATTCTTGAGCTTTTGCAAAATATATTTGCTTATTCCCTTATAGAGATGACATTGTTTTGACAAGTGTTGCCCATTGCAAATAAATACCATCGGTAAGATAGTATCCTATTGTATAATCATTTCCATTGATTGAGTAATTGACTGGAGGAGCACGACCTTGAGTAAGGAGTGAAAATACAGATGAACGATCTAATACATTGATATCGTTATGAGATCTGGGCATCCCAAAAAAGGCATGCCATATTTATAAATCTTGAGAAGCCACAGCCTCTAAAATAATAGTTGGTTCATGAATGTGACCAGAATACATACCTTTCCGTACATTAGGACAATTTTTTCATTTCCAATGCATATAATCAATGCTCCCTAATATTCCAGGAAACACGCGATTGCTTCCCATCGCTAATAATCTTGAAATATCATCGTTGTTAGGGCTCCTCAAGTACCTCTCAGTAAACATTGCAACCACCGCCTTAACAAAGTGTTTTAGACTCTCTATAGCAATGCTTTCACTAGTTCTCACATAATCATCCACCGAATCTGCTGCTACTCCATAAGCGAGCATCCTCATAGCAGCTGTCATTTTTTGAAGAGAAGACAAACCAATGATTCCAACAGCATCTGTTTTTTGGACAAAATATGGATCGTATGCTTCCACCGCAGATAGAATATGAAGAAAGAGAGATCGATTCATCTGGAATCTCCTCCTGAATAAATGAACAGGATATATAGCTGTTTCTGAGAAGTAGTCTCGATAAAGTCTCTCATGGCCTTGAACTTGATCACGATAAATAACTGCATGGCCTTCAATGGAACCACTATGTCTTCTTGAACATCTTTCTCTATTGAGTTGCTCTTCTTCCATTGCAGCTATCGTTATTAGCTGCAATTCGTCATCACCATTAGAGTCATTAAGAATCATTTTCATGGTATTGCGAGCCATGAATGAAGTTGAAAAATATAGTTCACATTGGTAAAAATGAAAGAGCAAATCCTTTTTATAAACAAAAACATATGATTGTTAGGAATATGTTTGTTAGAGAATTATTGTTTTAGTATGGTTTATTTATTGTTTTATTGACAGAAAAAAATTATTAGCTAAAATAAATTTATTGTTTCAAAATATGACCGTTGAGATAATATGATTGTTTGAAAATATTTTTTTATAAATAATTTAATTATATATTTTAAGTAAATAAATATTTACAAATGTCACGTCAATATATGTAGCATGTCATAAAAAGATTATTTATTTATTTGTTAATGTTTATAATAGTTTTCTTTTAAAAATTAGTTAAGTTAGTTTGATTGGTTAGCTAAAATAAAGAGTATGACTGGAGTGTACACTAACTAAACTAATTAGGCAAAATAAAAAAAAAAAGGTAGTTTTCTATATACTTTGACGAGGCATTTTAGACAGTATGGTTGAAGATGATCTTACAAGTAGCTAAAATTAGCTCATAAACTACTTCAGTTTCGTAAATTAAATTTTGAATTTTGTTTTATATTATATTTTTTGATATTTTGATTAAGTTTTTTTACTTTTTAAATACATTTAATCTAAAATATTAAAAAACATTTACTAATAAAAATATGAATTGAAGACTCAATTTAATTTTGACAATTGAGGCTCCGTTTGGCAAGAGCTAAACGGACTTTTTTTACTATTTTAGTCACAAAAGACAAAATAGGCTATTTTAGCCACAAAAAATAAAATATCACATTCAACCCATAATCATTACATTCTACTCTCACAAAAAAAACTAAAAAAGCCAAAAAATCAAAAAGCCCTTCCAAAACCAAACTTTTTAGCCCAGGTTAAAATAGCTAAAAAAATCAAACAGTCAAAAAATCAACCCACTTCCCAAACGGAGGCTGAATAATCAAAAGTATACAACCAAGCCGTCAACCCCAAGTCATCAATGAGCAACAAACAAGCCAAGGTTGTTTGGCAGCCGCGCCAATCCAAGCTGAAACACCATCAAGCTAAAATAAAACTGGAGTGCACGCTCCATCCATTACATTACTCGCTAAACACATATACATATTGGCCGGTTTAGAAATAGGTTATCTTAATTGATTATTTGTTGCTTTAATTATAAATAATATTATATATATCAATAAATATACATATTAATATATTAACAGATGATGTAACATTATTTATATAATTTTAAATATTTACAACTTTTATTACAAATATAATCAATAATAATATCATAATACTAACATATACACTAATTAACATATACACTAATTGATACATATAACACTATTATTTAATTATTTAATTATTTTAATCTGATTAAAAAAATTATATTTGAAGTAATAATTAATTTAATAATTATAAATTAAATATGAAAGGTTAACTTATTAATTATTTTAAACAAGTAAATGAACCAGAAATAAGATCCGAGTGAGCATGAGCTGGATCACACTAGTACAGTATTTCCAATAATATACTGACAGCTATTCTACACCTAGTCAACCAGCAGCACAAAGAAAGTAGAGGCAATACAAAACAAATGTCGCGTCAAATGACGAAATAATTAATTAGAACTTTATAATATAAATAAAAATAAATTAAACCTCTTGATCTAAAAAAAAAAAAAATGAAACCTAAACAGCCGTTTTCCGAATCCTGTCGAACCATACATCGAACCCCAAGTCACACGAATGATTACACATTCTCTCTCATCAAGTACTGTACAAAGGCATTATTCTGTATTCTTTGCTTTACTTTATACCTGTGTTTGGCTCTCCCACACCACATGCATTTCCCAATTATATATATAATAACTCCACACGTGCCAAGCCAAATGAAACATAAAAAAGACCACTTGATTAAATGAAACACATGGGTCATGAAGTTATCTACAACCGTTTTACAAGCCAATTGAAAAAACTGTTTTTGAACCATCCCAGATTTTAAATTAAAACAAAAAAAACAAAAGATATATCATCAAGTTTCTTTTCTTTCCCTCCAATTCAACCCCCATTTTAAAACTGAATTCTAAAGCGGTAAACTGAGAGACCCTTGCACCACAACCTAACTACCATTTAAATAACCAACCCCCCTCCAAGTAACGGCTCTGTAAGAAAGAGCAAACTACCGAACTTTTAAACTTAAAAAGATATACCATCCAAATCCCAAAAAGCACAATTCCCTCCAAAATACCCACCAGCAAGCAAGCTCCTCACAAATTGTCTCCTGAAATTCCATCTTCAGTTTTCCATTGGAACCAGCATATGCTGCTCTGCTAATGGTGCTTCCTCGGTGACTTCGCAGCGTACTCAACAACATCATCTTCCTCATCCCCATCACCATCATCGTCGTCATCATCATCGTCATCGTCTCTCTTCCTTTTGTTGTGTGAAGAAGGCGATGGTAGCACCTGAACTTCACCATCCTGATCATCTTCATCTTCAACATCTTCCTCCATTTCAGGATCATCATCTTCATTGACAGGATCCATGTCACTGCCTGCACCATCTTCTTCAGCCTGCCCAACTGGCTGAATTAAGTAACCAGCATCATTATCTTCTTCCTGCCATTGAAGTACCCCGGCCCCCCAAATAAATAAATTAATTAATAAAGAAATAAACATAAACATATAATGAATCAATTAATCAACAAATAAACATATTATTAAATGAAACACACCAGCATCTTGAAAAAATACAAAAAACAAAATAACAGCAGTTCAAAATTTTTCTTTTTTATTTTTTCATAAGAAAAATAACAACAATTAATACATGAAACATAAATATAAAGGCAAAGACATACTTCCTTAAAACATAAAAATCTCTTAGAAAATACTAACAAAATGTTTTCAATTTGATAATCATCAAAATTATGTAAGGCTAAACTAATTATGCTCAGCCACACCTTCCAACACAAAAAAGTTCAATCACAAATGTAACAGATTCAACAGAATATTCATTACAAAATGTTCATCGACCGGGTATTACATCAAGCTAATAAAGCGTATATTAGCTTAGTGATATAAAATAATATCTTCTGCCAGTCATACAGAGCCATAGAACTATGCCTACTTAGAGGAACAAACGTGATTGAGACCCCCACTTTCCCCCCATCCCCACACACACGTGGGGGTTGGTGATTGGAGAAGGGAAAAAAAAAAATTCCGGCCAATCAGATCCCACTGGGGGTTGTGGGGGTCACCCCCAGTGGAGGTCTGAAACATTTTTGTAGGAATTCCAATGCTGCTGCAACCAATTAAATTAAATTAGAAGATATAAATTTGGAATCACTGAGAAATGAGGATGCAAAATTATGAGCACCTAATCCCAAAACCAACCATATACAACTATGAGCAGCAACAACGATCCTACAATCATCCAAACTTGAGCAGAACAAAAGTGACAGAAAGCAGTCATAAAAAAATTCAGCACAAATCACCACAAATAATTTGAAATTTAAAAATGCTAGTTCACGGTAATTCATAAAAAAAGGGAGAATGGAAGTACACAATAATCCACTAAAATTAATTTAATTGGTAACACTAGCCAAAACATAACAACATCCATGACATTATACCCAACAAAATAAAACCCTCTAAGCAGTATACACAACTCAATTGACTGTCATGAAGATGCTATCCACATCAAGGGTCAGCTCCAGTACCAAGACCTAAAATGATCCCATTCTTGGTAGCAAAATTGCACTAATTGCAAGAGATGGAACACTAGCAAAACAATATATGACCTTACAACTATCTAATTCACCAGATTAAGAAACTCCCGAAACAGAGCTACGATATTACATAAAGGTTTCCACGGATCTAGGCAAGTCAGTTTACCCTTCTCTTTTTCTTTTCTTTTTATTTTTATTTTTATAACTAGTATCCAGCCCAATTAAAGTCGGTCCCCGGAAAAATTGTTTGCGCCTAGGAGGTTTTAGTAAGTTTACTCTTCAGCAAAACTAAAGCACAAAAGATCAGACAATATATTCAAACAACAGAAATACATATAAACATCAACACGCACATAGCAAACGAAATTAGTAAAGCCAATTGCAATTTCTAGCAAGTGATGAAATATATAGTTTTTGCAATGAAAGGGGATCATCACTACCTCATCCTCAGCTTCTTCATCATCCTCAAACTCCCCATCTTCTTCAACACCTTGTTCTTCTTCCTCCCCAGTTTCACCATTATCATCCTCCACTCCATCTTCCTCCCCTTGCTCATGCCCATCTATCTCCCCTTCTGTACTCGTCAATCGCCCAGTACTCTCGGGTTCTCCAAGATCCCCTTCATCATTATCAACCTCCTCTTCTTCCTCATCCTCCTCCTCGTCGTCATCTTCTCCATCATCTTCAACCCCATCTTCCTCATCATCACTGTCCTCTATTTCGTGAACCTCAATAACATCCTCATCCTCACCCTCCTCTTCATCAATCTCTTCCACCCAATCATTATCCTCCTCATCCTCACCTTCCTCATAATCCTCCGCCACCCCAAATCCATTCGATTGATGAGGCAAACCCGCCTGATTCGATCCGCTTGCCCTTCTCGAAGTCTCCGTCTCCTCTTCATCGGCATCACTCTCTTCATCCTCATCAACATCAACAATTCCATCACCTCCCACACTGTGTCCATTATTCATCCTATACTGCCGATCCTCACCATCACCATCACCATCACCGTCACCGTCACCGTCACCGTCGATTTCGCCACTCCCCGGATCATCCTCTTCGTCCTCCTCCTCATCCTCTTCCGACTCCGGCCTTTCATTCTCATCAGCATCCATTTTATCCAAGTACTTTAAAGACTTAATCAATCCAAAAACCTTAGATCGGTAATCCTTCACTCTCGTCACCGGACACTCATACAGATCAAGCGAAACAAGCTTAAGCTCGGCAAGCGGTTTGAGATCATTAATCCCCTGAATCCGATTATTCGACAAATCAAGGTCTCGAAGCGAATCGAGACCGGCTTCAACAAGGAGTTCGAGTCCGCCGGCGATGCGATTGTCGGACAAAATGAGTCTTTGAAGATTGTGGAGGCGAGGGAACTGATCGAGAGAAGAGAGGCCAATGTTTGCGAGAGAAAGATGTTGAAGGTTCTGGAACTTGTCGAAGAGGGAAGGCGGAGGAAGACGACCGTGAACGCACTTCACTGCGCCGTCTAGGGTTAGGATTCGAACCGAAGCCACGTCTGTTTGGCCATCAAGCGCTGTCTCCACCGCTCTCTCCCAGATCTCATCCATCAATTGTAAATTTTGTATCCCTCAAACACATATATAAAACTAATCCATTCAAAGCACAGATTTATTTATATAGATACGATAAACCAAACCCTAACCCTTGCCCCAAATTGAAAAAATATAGATACGAAACAGTATATCTATTCTTCAAAGGCTTAAAACCCTAATTTCCAGGTGCTTCCAACTGCTAGAAGAGAATGCGAAGAACCCTAATAACAAGCTCTCTCTCTCTCTCTCTAGATTTCTCTTTGTCGTTGTGTGTGCGTGTGTCTCTCTCGCTCTAGATAGATGTAGGAGTTTGTGAGTCGGGAATCGGGACGAGCCCAAATGCGAGACGACTCGTGGCTCCGCTGGGTTAGCGGTTGGGGGGTTAAGTTAACTCAACCATGGTTGGTTTGAAGATTGTTTTGTTGTCTGGTTTAATTTGGAGACTTATTGGTGGCCGTTGGATTTGAGAAGTGCGGATCGGTGACGTGGAGGAATATGGACGGTGAAGATTTGAGATTGGTGTGTTTGTTTAGGAGAAGGACGGCAGAGATTGGGTGTGCCGATTCGCGCTCGCCAAATCCGACACGTCAGTGCTTGTGTAAAATATCGGATGGGGTTAGGAATATGCCACTGAAATTTGAAATTATTTTCGGAAGTGCCACTACACGTGATGAGAAAGAAGATTTGGAGGTGTAAAAACATTTTCAATCCGCACTTCACCAAATTGTTTCGCATGTGTTAAAATAAATAATTTATCTTATTTTAATGGGAGTTTGTTTTTAATAAATTCACTTTTTAAGAGATTTATTTCATTCAATTCATATTTTTTTGACTATTTTATTAGGTCCTATTTGAGATAAAAAGACCAAAATATCTTTTTCATCTACTTATGTTCTATTCAGTTTACATTATTTTCTTATGTTTCAATAAGTCCTATAAGTGACATAATTACCAAAATACCCTTAATGTGAATGTTCATATCGTCAATGTGTAGAGGCCCGGCCCATGTCGATCCTCGTGGGTGCCGGGAAAAATTTGAGTCGAACCGGGGCGGGTCCGACCCGTTGACAATGTGAATATTCACATTGACATGTTAACATTCAAATTAATAGGAGTGTAAAATTGGCCCGCGTCCCGTGGTGGCGCGAAACCCGCGCACGGCCTATGGGCGGCCCAGGGCGGGCCCGGTCCGGTCCGTTGATAATGTGAATATTCACAATGACATGTTAACATTCACATTGATAAGAGTGTAAAATTAGCCCGCGCCTCGTAGTTGCCCGAAACCCACCCACGGCCCGGGGCGGGCCCAGCCCGACCTGTTGACAATGTGAATATTCACATTGACATGTTAACATTCAAAAATAAAAACCTCAGGGGGCAATTTGTTATGAAAATATAAACCTCAGGGGGTGGGATGTAATTTCTCAAACGTCAGGGGGGAATCTGTATTTTTACAAAACCTCGAGGGAGGTGTTTGTAATTTGCCCTTGTTTTTAATAAATTCACTTTTTAAGATATTTATTTCATTCAATTCATATTTTTTTTGATTATTTTATTAGGTCTTATTTGAGATAAAAAGACCAAAATATCCTTTTCATCTACTTATGTTCTATTCAGTTCACATTATTTTCTTATGTTTCAATAAGTCCTATAAGTGACATAATTACCAAAATACCCTTAATGTGAATGTTCATATCGTCAATGTGTAGAGACTCGGCCCATGTCGATCCTCGTGGGTGCCGGGAAAAATTTGAGTCGAACCGGGGCGGGCCCGACCCGTTGACAATGTGAATATTCACATTGACATATTAACATTCAAATTAATAGGAGTGTAAAATTGGCCCGCGTCCCGTGGTGGCGCGAAACCCGCGCACGGCCTATGGGCGGCCCGGGGCGGGCCCGGTCCGGCCCGTTGATAATGTGAATATTTACAATGACATGTTAACATTCACATTGATAAGAGTGTAAAATTAGCCCGCGCCTCGTAGTTGCCCGAAACCCACCCACGGCCCGTAGGCGGCCCGGGGCGGGCCCAGCCCGACCTGTTGACAATGTGAATATTCACATTGACATGTTAACATTCACATTGATAAGAGTATACAATTGGCCAGCGGCCTAGGGCGGGCCCAACCCGACCCGTTGATAATGTGAATATTCACATTGACATGTTAACATTTACATTGATAAGAGTGTAAAATTGGTCCGCAACCCGTGGGCGGCCTGAAGCCTGACCACAGCCCGATGCGGGCTTGGCCCGACCCGTGACAATGTGAATATTCACATTGACATGTTAACAATAACATTAATAGGAGTGTAAAATTTGCCTGTTACCCGAAGCTTGCCCGCGGCCTGGGGTAGGCCCGGCCCAGCCCGTTGATAATGTGAATATTCACATTGATATGTTAACATGCACATTGATAAGAATGTAGAATTGGCCGGTGGCCCGTGGGCTGCCCGAAGCCCGCCCACGACTCGGGACAGGCTCGTTTGGGTTCGGGCCCGAGCATGTCCGAGACCCTAGGCTAGGGCCTAGGCCATCACTTTAAAGCCTAGCCCGGCCTATCAACCCGCTTAAGGCCCATTCAAGGCTCGGTCTGAGGCCTAGCCCGCCCGAGGAGCAATGTATTTTTTTGTGGAAAATAATAAAATTTTGGTAGAAAAAATTAAAAAAAATTTAAAAAAAATGGCCAGGCCCACCCAAGCCCGACCTAAGCTCGAGGCTAGGCCCAGGTCCACCGGCCCGACCCGAGGCTTGATCCATCGGCCCGTTCAAAGCTCGAATACCCTTGTGCTAGGGCTAGGGCATGGGCCTAATTTTTTGGCCCGTGTGCCGGGCCAAGCCGGGCCGGATTTTTTCGGACACCCGCAAGGCTCAATATGGGTCGGCCCAGGCCTCTACGCATTGATGATAAGAATATTCACATTGACGATGTGAACATTCATATTATGGGTATTTTGGTAATTATGTCTCTCATAGGACTTATTGAAACATAAGAAAATAATGTGGACTAAATAGAATAGAAGTAGATGAAAATGATATTTTGGTCTTCTTACCTTAAATAGGACTTAATGGAATAGTCAAAAAGAACGTAGGCTGCCCAAAGCTCGCCTGCGGCTCGGGAAAAGCTCGTTTGAGCCCGGGCTCGAGCCTAGTCCGAGACCCTAGGCTAGGGCCTGGGCCATTACTTTGAAGCCCAGCCCGGCCCGACCTATCGGCCCGGTTAAGGCCCATTCAAGGCTCGGTCTGAGGCCCGGCCCCCCGCCGAGGCCTAGTATTTTTTTTTGTGAAAAATAATAAAATTTTGGTAAAAAAAATTAAAAAAAATTAAAAAAAAATGGCCAGGCCCGCCCAAGCCCGAACCAAGCCTGAGGCTAGGCCCAAGCCCATCGGCCCGACCTGACCCGAGGCTCAATCTACCGGCTCCAGCCTAGACCCAAACGAGCCTGCCCCGGGCCGTGGACAGGCTTTGGGCAGCCCACGGGCCGCAGGCCAATTCTACATTCCTATCAATGTGCATGTTAACATGTCAATGAGAATATTCACATTGTCAACGGGCTGGGCCAGCCCGAGCCTACCCCGGGCCGTGGGCAAGCTTCGGGCAACGAGCAAATTTTATACTCCTATCAATGTTTATGTTAACATGTCAATGTGAATATTCACAATGTCACGGGTTATGCTACGATCGGGCTTCGGGCCGCCCATGGGCTGCGGGTCAATTTTACACTCTTATCAATGTGAATGTTAACATGTCAACGTGAATATTCACATTGTCAATGGGTCGGGTCGGGCCCGCTAGAAAATTTTATATTTTCATCAATGTGAATGTTAACATATCAATGTGAATATTCACATTGTTAACAGGTTGGGCCGGGCTCGCCCCGGGCCGTCCACGGGCTGTGGGCAGGTTTTGGGTAACCACGGGGCGCAGGCTAATTTTACATTCCTATCAATGTGAATATTCACATTGTCAACGGGCCAAGCCAGGCCCGCCCTGGGCCGCGGGGGGGGCTTTTGGCCGCCCATGGGCCGCGGGTCAATTTTATGCTCTTATCAATGTGAATGTTAACATGTCAATATGAATATTCATATCGTCAACGGGTCAGACCAGGCCCACCCCGGGCCGCTCATGGACCGCCAACGGGTTTCGCGTCACCACGGGACGCGGGCTAATTTTACACTCCTATTAATGTGAATATTAACATGTCAATGTGAATGTTCACATTGTCAACGGGCCGGGTCTGTCCCGGCTCGCGGACGGGTTTCGGGCAGCCCACGGGCCAATTTTACATTCCTACCAATGTGAATTTTAAAATATGAATGTTCACATCATAAAATTGCGAACCGTTAAAAAAAAATTTATAAGGGTATCAAAATTAAATATAAAGGTATAAGTATCCAAGAAAATAGTGTAAATCAATAAAAAAGAGTTTATGGAATAAAACTATACATAATACTTCTATATGGGATTTATCAATAAAAATCCAATTTTAATATATTATCTTATTTAAATTATAATTATTTTATTTAAGTTATATTACCTTTTTATCACATCATTTTAAATTTAACTTATATTTTACATTTTTTTATAAAAATTTACAAAATATACTAACCTAAAATAGCCTCCGTTTGGCAAGCAAAAAGCCAGGCTTTTTTGGCTAAAATAGCCACAAAAAACAAAATAGGCTATTTTAGCCACAAAAAACAAAACATCAAATCCAACCCATAATCATTACAATCCTCTCTCACAAAAAAAGTCAAAAAAGCCAAAAAGCCATTTTTGATTTTTTTTTTTTTAGAAATGAAGTAGGTTAAAAGTTAAGAAGTGACTTTTAACTCATTTCCCAAAATAAGCCAATGCGTGTATATATAAATAAAATAAAAAATAGTGTTAAAGGATGTAAATAAATAAATAAATAATTAGACAAAATAAAGAATATAGTATTTTATATTTTAACTAGAGCATGGTTGGAGTTGCTCTTGGAGCATCTCTAATGAACTCTTTAAAAAAATAATGTTAACTATTATAATTTATAACTGCTCTCGTTCTATTTTACATTTTTCAACAAATTAACTATTACATTAACATATTCACCCAAGCCATATTATCAAAAAATTTATAAGTTAGCCAATTTGGAGAGTCTTTTAAGACTCTTCAAACAGTTTAGATACATAAGTAAGTAAAATAAAGAATAATATTGGAGCACATATACAAAATAATTAGGTGAAATAATAATATTTTTTTTATATACTTTAGTTGGTATTACATTCTGCTTCAGATAAGTAAAAAATGTCAAAGTGTTCTTCAAAATATATTT